AAGTATTTATTAGTTGTTAAACTTTACCCAATCCATTGTTAAATGCACCACGTATTACAAGATTTTAAGTATATAATTGATGATTGATTGGTGATTAATTGATTGATGATTGATTGATTGATAATTGATGATTGATATGTGTTAATGACAGAAAAAGAAGTTAAAAATTTGTAAATATTAGACAAAAAATATTATCAAAAATTTCTTATCATTTGCAAACTCAATGTTGTCAACATTAAACAAAGTGTTATTACCAAATCTGATTTAAAATTTAATAATTTTTAGCTTCTTTTTTTATTATTTTTCCTAATGGTAATAGGAAAAAGTTGCTACATTACATGATAATTTTACCTTAAAAACTTTAGAAAAAGAAGTTAAAAATTTGTAAATACCAGACAAAAAATATTATCAAAAATTTCTTATCATTTGCAAATTCAATGTTGTCAACATTAAACAAAGTGTTATTACCAAACCTGGTTTAAAATTTAATAATTTTTAGCTTCTTTTTTTATTATTTTTCCTAATGGTAATAGGAAAAAGTTGCTACATTACATGATAATTTTACCTTAAAAACTTTCATTCAAGAGCGCTAAGCACCTAAAAATTTTTTGATTATAAATTTACTCTGAAAGTATAAAATTGTAGCATTTTTTACTGATTACATTAAAATATTAATAGTTAATATCACTATTTGAATGTTCAGCATTACTTTTCTTAAATGAAAACTTCAAGATAAATGTGCACCTTAGTTCTTACATAAAATTATATTGCAAGTTTAAATTTATAAAAACTTATATAAATAGGTCCAAAAAGGAGATTAGTTTAATAAGTCCTCCTAATAAAATATAAGAGAAGAGGACAACATATATAAATACCAGAGATTGACATGTAAATATGAGTTATTATACAATTGCAAAGATCTATGTCTCTGCTATATACTTTTCTCCATCAATAGATTTCATTGATCGACATTTATGTAAAGCTTTATTTTCTTCATATTTTCCTGGTTTTGACTCAATGCAATGTCTCAAAAGTAATGCAACCGAATATCTGCTTGATTTCTCGGTCAGAGATTTTTTTTTTTTAAAAAAAAAACTGTGTTAGTAGGATAGAATATTCTAACTACGAAGCCTTTGGATGGAAACCAAATCATAGTTTTAAAAATATTTTTATGGTTTACGAAATAAATATATAGAGGAGTTTGTCTCGTTTTGTGGAAAAATGTTTTTTAGGAACACTTTTTAAGGTTGCTAAACGCCCTTTTAATCAGTCGCATCTGACATTTTTTACTCGCTTCTATCAAAACTAGAGTTTAATGTCCTGTTTATCATCATAATTGAAATCATTTATAAACACGTTTTATGAAAGTTGAGACAAAATTCCTTTCACATATTTATTTCGTATATCGTAAATCATTATTAAAAAGTTATTTATAAACTATTTTAAACAGACTCTAATTTGAATAAAACTATTTTAAGCAGGTTCTAATTTGAATACCAAGCTACCAGTATTTTTTTTTAAAAAAAAAATAAGACGAATAAAATCTTCTTTGAAACTTTTGTCATGGCATTTGCTCATTCAGAATCTGTAATGAATTAGGCTGGGATTTTGTTTTGAAACATTTTACTTTGATAAAATAAATAAGTAATTAAAATTATTTTAAAAAATAAATTGAAATATCAATCGACCTGCTATGCTGTCATGAAGATGCAGAGATTCGTCTGAGCTAAAAATTCTTGCGTGCACGTAAACAAAATTACTGACATAATCACTGGAATGGTGTCAGAATGCCCTAATTGAGACTATATTTGTCTAAATATTAAATAAAAAGTAAAAATTCCAATAAATTACAAATCACTTTATGAAGTAAGATGCTTGTTTGGTTAGATTAAACTATAATTTTAAAAATAATTTTATAGAGTTTAAAATAAATATATAAAATTTTTTTTATCTCAATTTATATAATCAATTTATATAAATGCTTCCGAAGAATCCCAATCACTTTTTCATAAAACAAACAAAAAAAAACCCCTCTTCTACTTTTTTGATCACTTTATCTAAGATTATTTTGAGGAAACAAATCCTTTTATCACAAATTAAATCATTATTAAATAAAGAAAGTGTTTTTTTTTAAATATCCAGCATTTTAAAATATTTTGTTAAATATTTAACATTCTGAATTTTTTTAAAGTTTATTCAATACTTTAAAGTATTTTTTTATACATCAAGCATCATAAAATTTTTTTTTAAAGTGCGTTTAGTATTCAAAATACTTTTTGATGCATTATGCATTAAGCAAAAAAAATTCAGGTGCTAGACACATCACAAGATATTTTAAAGTGTTTAATGTACAAAAAGAGTGTTAAATCTATCTATGTTAACCTTTAAATGAACATATGGTACTATTATTTAATTAAACGCTAGTGTTTTGTCGTTGTAGTTTCTTTTGGTGCTGATAGTGATGGTGATAGGTTTTTGGATTACACTATTATACTAGCTATTTAATGAGAGGGACTGAGAGAAATGATACCTTTTTCTTGGGTCGCGTCTGGTTAGTGGTTATCATGAAATTAAATTAGGATGATCCCCTAAATAATAATTGCAATACCAGCATAATCTTTTGACCAACCAATACCAGCATAAAGTGCTCCACCCTCCGTAGCCCTTGATATAGTTGATATAATTATATAACAAAGCTTATAAGGTTGAGTGAAAGATCTGTTAATAAAATACTCATGAATACGCACCTAGCTAACATCATAATATTTATTTGAATGTAAAAATATCTATGAAAATTTCCAAAGAGCAAAAAAAAAAGTCATAAAAATTTATTTAAGCAAACATCCATTACCTTTTAATGGTAGGCGCTGTTCTATATTCTAAAAATTAACAAACATTTGCTTAAATCAACAGTCGTGATTTTTTTTGCATCCTTTGAAAATTTTCATGGGCATTGTTACACCTAAATAAATATTGAAGTGCCAGATGCGTATACTTCACAAATTGGTTTACATTTTAATCCAATCTTGTATGTAAATATTATTACATGATAGATGCTGTAACAAGTATTAAAATTATTCCTCAGGAAAATATTTTCTAAAATGAAAGTAAAGACAAGTTTTGAAGCCTAAACAATCCGAATATGTTGGCAAAAAAAAAAAAACCTCTAAATATGAAGATTTAGGTGAAGTGTGATTTGTGAAGATCCATTAGAGTGATCTCTCCGTCTTTTCTGCCTAACCAAGGGGTGGCAGATGACCAGGGGAGGTCGTGGCGCTAATGCCCACCACTCAGCAATTATCTTACATAAGTATATATGTATATTTTTTCAAAATAGTAATTAATTAATTAATCCATTAATTGTAGCTTTACATTATTATGTCTCTCGACTTTAATTTAATAATTAGCTATAATTAATAACCTGTCACGTAGATCAAGGAAAAAAGACAGATTTCATGCACACCAGATTTGACCAAACAAAATGTACAAGTTCCAATGGTCCCATTGGTTACACTACTCGACAACCTTCCAATCAGAACTTTTTCTGTGATCTCTCATCCTTTAATGGCATTTTTTGGCCGTCTGTTTCTCATCTTCTAATCCCACCGCTGGTTTTCCCTTTTATGGCAATGTACTAAAAACCATTTTGGGATATTAACCACTTCTCTAGTCTTGTTTATACGATAGAGAGAAAAGACTTTTTTTACTCTTATTTATAAGTTATTTTATTAAATTTTTAATGTAAATGTATTATTTCATCCTTCATTTATTATCATGTAGATAATTATATTTTGTGAAAGGTGTATATATTAAATAAGAATAAATTTAAAAAGTTGTTATAATTAAGAGTTAATGCATTTTAAGATTTTTCTTGATTATATAAAATATGTTAGAAGTGTCTTATAAATAGGATAAGAGGAGTATGTTTAAGGTACAGATGAAAACAGTTACTTAACCCTAATTTGGCGAGTGTTTCAGTGTTCCTGTTATCTAACCCTAATTTGGAAATTCCTTGCTGGCTACGTTAGGAGGGGACACTGGCATTGTGTAATGTTAGGACATTCTCAACTAAATTTGCTCCATACGTAAAGGAGAAATTCAAAGGGAAAATTAAAAAAAATTACCTCTTAAATTTTAAAATCTCCAATAAAAAATTATTACAAAAATATATTGTTATTTGCTTTTCAAGGATAGTCAATTACTATCAAAATATAGTAAACAAAACTAATTTAGAATTTTAAAGTTCAAGAAGTATTTTTTTTAGATCTTCTCAAATTCAAATCCCCATCTATTCATTTAAAGAATGATAACTGGCCTTAACCATGCCAACCTAAGTTTGTTGAGATTTTTCATGTACCATCAATATGAGAATAAGTGTTAAAATTCAGAGAGAAGCAACCATAAGGCCTAGCACAGTTGTCATTTAGCTGAGTTTCTTAAACATAAACATCTAGTTAGAGGATTGAATCCCTTGCAATGGGTATGGAGAGGGTTTTGTGGCTATTACTAAAGCTTTTTTAGAAAGTCTATAATGCGAGGGGATTAATCACTGCTACTAACTATAGACACTTGGACTCCAGAAAAGGGTAAATTATCCTACAAGATCTTCATATTAACAAGAATCCTCGAATCTCACGGGGTTGAGTTTGGTGTTTTGTAGGTCTTAGCTTTTGCTCTCCCCCCCCCCCCAAGCTGTTGGCTTGCCATTGTAATATAAAAAAAACCTTTTTATTTCAGATTGCACAGCAATTTATGCACTATGATAGTTTTTGAAACATTAGGTGTTGAGATGATACATTTAAATTAAAAAGAAAAAAGAAAAAAAGAAAGGGAAAGCAATAAAATAAAGACAAGATATGGCATGTGGGGATCGGTGTGAGTGCGGTGCGTAATTATTAATTCATGCCTTAAAACGAGCAATGCACAGTTCCACTAGTCCGCTACTCCTACCTTCTTCCAGTTTCTTATAAACCTCCGCGCAACTCGGAAAACAAAACACACACACACACACACACACACACACACACACACACACGCACCATGCCCTCCTCTCCTGAAGATGCTAATGTTCCTTCTTCTCGCGGTACTTCCTTATTCAAAACTTGTTTCCATGGCGTCAATGGCATTTCAGGTTCTTCTTCACTTCTCATCTTTTTTCATTTTAGTTTCTTCCAACTTCTTGATTAGTCTTCAACGTCATTGTGATTCTAGCCAGATATGTGACTAGACTTTGACACAAAACTATATATGTGTGTGTGAGAGGAGTTCAAGTGAAATAAACTGGAATCCCTTTAAGTTTCGTCAAAGATTCAAATTTTGTAAATACTCCCTCCAATTCTGAATATAAGAATTAGTATAGGGTTTGCTATAGTTTTAAATACATTACCTCAATACTTCTTGTTTCTCAAATTTATGATTTTTTTTCTTAAACTTTTCCGATTAATTGTACTTATTAATTAAGGGGTTATTCATCAAGAAAGTATATACGTTCCAATGCAAATGATTAAAATGGATCTTAATGTTTACAAATTAGTTACTTAACACCTATATTTAGTAATGAAGGAGGTCATGCACAATCAAGTTAGAAAAACCCCAAATAAGTTTTATGATGCTCGAAAATGCCCTAATAATTCGTAGTAGATACTAGGTTGTCATGAGTCTTATGTCAAAAAAGTTACCTTGAAGTAGGGGCCATATAAGGCGTTGGGCTCTCAAACTCCAACGGCTAGCTTTTGGTATGTGATTCTCCCAAAAATTTGTACTCGTTTTACATAAGTATATATGCTAAATACTGGTTTGGTTTGTTTCAGGGATTGGGATAGTCTCTATACCATATGCACTAGCATCAGGAGGATGGCTAAGCTTAATACTTCTGTTCATCATAGCCATCGCAGCATATTACACAGGAATCTTGATAAAGAGATGCATGGACGAAGATCCCTCCATAGAATCTCTTCCCGACATAGGACAACGTGCGTTTGGGGAGAAAGGAAGGTTGATGGTGAACATAGCCATGAACTGTGAACTGTATCTGGTAGTGACAGGTTACCTTATTCTGGAAGGAGACAACCTCAACAAACTGATAACACATGTACATGTGGACATAGGAGGGATAAGGATTAATGGAATGCAATGTTTTGTGATTCTTACGGCTCTTATTATTTTGCCCACTGTTTGGCTACAAGATTTGAGCCTTCTTTCTTATGTGTCTGCCACTGGGGCGTTGGCTTCTACCATATTCCTCTGTGCTTTGTTGTGCAACGGTGCGTTTGATGGGACTGGGTTTCATCGTAAAGGCATTCTCATTAACTGGAAAGGTCTTCCTGCTGCTGTTAGTTTGTATGCTTTTTGTTACAGTGCTCATCCAGTTTTTCCTAATCTTTACACTTCCATGAAGAACAAACATCAATTTTCCAATGTAAGTATACCGGTACTGGTTTTATTTTTATTCTTTTAAAATTTAAATTATAGTAGTATTTTTATTTCTCATAGTTTTGCAATTTTTTTGCTGAGTTCCTGTAATTTAAACCATTTTTTATTTAACCTTTGTTGGTGCAAAGCTGTTAGTATTTGCGTTATTATTTTCTTGGCGTAGGTAATTGTGTGATATCTTGTCAAAGTATACATTATCTAAATCAATATCCTCATTTTTTTAACGCAAGTTGCGTCACCTTTCGAGTGCGTGTCTCGATTTTGTTTCACACACACCCCTATCGTTGAGCATCTTTACAAGTGCTTTGAGAGATTATATATAGTTGTTGCATTAAAACCTAACAAAATTCTAATAAAAAGTTTACAAGAGGACAAAATATAAAATTTTTAACTAATAAGTTTTAGTAAGAAAAATTATTTTTGTTTTTAATTTTTTCTGTATATGTTTTAAATCGTTCATGACAAATAAATAAATAAATTTGAAGCCAATAAATATATTTTCACATGGCTGAAAATCTTATTTTAGTTAGTAATTCTTTTTTCTGTTGTTGATTATTTATTTTTATGAAAAAAGTTTTATTATATTGTATCCCGTTATCTTTTTTATACATTCATTGATTTTAATTTAAAAAATCAATATATTGTCGAACTAACTTCCATTCTTTTTATTACTGTTAATTATTCCTTCAGGTGCTGCTGGTGTGCTTCACACTTTGCACCTTAATATACGCAGCAATAGCAATTCTGGGTTACTTGATGTTTGGCTCAGAAGTTCTGTCAGAAGTAACCTTAAACCTTCCAAAAGGCAAAATAAGTTCAAAGGTGGCAATTTATACAACGTTGGTGAATCCCATAACAAAGTATGCTTTGATGCTCACACCAATTGTGGACGCCATTAAAAACACAATCCCTTCAAGCTTAAGCAAGAAGAAAGCATCACATTTAGTCCTCAGCACCACCTTGCTGCTCAGCACGGTGATCGTCGCGCTCGCCGTGCCGTTCTTCGGATATTTGATGTCTCTGGTCGGAGCTTTGTTGAGTGTGTCTGCTTCATTTCTGGTCCCGTGTGTGTGTTACTTGAAGATTTCAGGAAAGTTTAAGGTGGTTGGATGGGATATGATGGTCAATTATGGAATTGTTGTCATGGGGATTTCAATTGCAGCTGTGGGAACTTACACTTCACTAGGAGAAATAATCAAACATTTGAAAGTGTAATTAATATTGGGCATTTAATCCGGGATTTATCAAGTTTGATTAGCTTTAAATTCTGATCAAGATTTCAGTATGATTTGATTTAGGGTTTATATATGTAGATTGGGCTTCTTTTGAAATCTCAAGAATTTGTACTACTTTTATGAAAATTGTCAAAAACTCTTGTTGATTGTCAAGGCAATAAATTGGTGGTACTTGATTGAGTTCATGTTTTAAGATTATAGCACTTAACAATATATTTCTTTTCATTTTTGTGTATTAGTTTTTCTTAAGTTTACTTAGGTTGGAGAATAGCAACGAGGGGGTGAGAAACTCTTAATTATTTCGATTTAAAAAAATGGACAAATTAGCTTATAAAATTTTAACAGAAAAAAGTAATTAAAATTAATTAAAATCTTTTAATCCCATTTGTTTGTTATTTTTTTAAAAAATTGTATCCTTCTCCTATTTTCCTCAGACCTAGCAAGCCATTGGACATTGAAGTTGAGAAGGCTTTTGTTTGTTTGTTTTTTTTTTTGGGAGCAATTCCTTGGATCCTAAAAGGGTTGTTTTGATGAAATGAATGAGGAGAATATAAGTTCGAATTTCAAAAAGTATATTTCTTAGAAGAACTTTAACATTATTGCTTCCTTAAAAAAAAAAAAAAACAAGACTACACAGAACAAACACATAAGAATTTAGGCCTAAAGAGAGAAGGCCCAATTCTTTTCTAACAAAAATTGTTATCTTTGTATAAATTCCCATTCCAAATACAAAAATTGTTCGTTAAGTTGCTCGTTTATTTAGTTTTTGCAATTTTTGTAAATAATTATGTAATTTCATTGTAGATTCTATACCCACCTTTTTTTCACTGTAATAAGTCTCACACTTAATATCTTTTCTCACTCTTGGGCTCATATTTTCCTAACTTCCTCAATCTTTTCTTTTTGAAAAAAATTGCTCAAATTGCTACGGTAAAACGCAATTTACTATATGTGGAGATTTGTTTTCAACTATCACTTTTTAATCATTCAATTTTTCTAATTGCATTTCCATCTCATAAAATGTTCTCTTAAAAAAGTTAATGGTTAAGCCTCTATATTTGTTAATTGTTAAATAAACCACTTGTCAGAGTTTAAATATTTTCAAATCCATTCCGATCCCATAGGATATTAAAGTTAGCATCCTAATCCTTATAATCAATATATAAATATAATAAATCCAATTATTAATATAAAAGCTAGATAACTAACTCGCGGATATTAAGAAAATTAGTTATGTTAGTTATTATAACATAGGTGTGCTGGCTTTACTAAATTACTATATTTAATCATGTGTAATAGAATTACCACTGGCATGAAACTCTTTGATATGTACAATTAATAAGGATCCATTACAAAAAAATTATAAATTTGGGAGATAATTAAGTGAATTGAGATCTTATATTTTAAAAAAAATTTAACTCTTAACTAACTTTTATATATTAAAAGGTTGACGATGCAAAAATACATACAAACTTACTCAAAGTGCACCTACCACCATATGCTTTTTCAAGATGTAAAAATACTTATAAACTTGCAAAACCAGAGCAAAAATGATACCGCTATTAAATTTGTCTAACAATCGTTACTTTTTATAGTAGGACCCATGCTGGTGTTATGAAAGTACCAAAATACCCTTGCTAAAAAAGGAAAAAAAAGGCAAAGGTGCAAAATAACCATAAACTTTTAGCAAAAGTGCATTAAACACCATATGTTTTTTTACATGTGTAAAAGTACCCGTGAAAGTAAAACAAAACACATGGTGTTTTTGCATATGCAAAAAAGAACACATGGTGTTTGGCGTGCTTTGGCTGAAAGTTTGCGGGTATTTTTGTTCCTTCACCCTTTTTTCTAAATTAGGAGCACTTTGATACTTTCATAACATTAGCATAAGTCCCATAAAAAAAAGTAACGGCCGTTTGGCAAATTTAATGGCAGTATACTTTTGCACCTCATAAAAGCTTATGGTGGTGAATGTACTTTGGTAAAAATGTATAGTTATTTTTGTACTTTCATCCTGTATTACCCTATATTAAATATCAAAGGCAGTATTATACAAAGTAAGAATACAACGGACGATATGATTGGTTGTATTCAAACGTTTCGTTCTAGAAATGATTTTTAAACTTGCATTGTTTGAAGGGAAAATCTAGAATTAAAGATGAGTTACGCATATCAATTTAATTAATTGTAAAATTTTATGTGGATTTTAATTGCAAATTAGAAATTTAAGTTTTATGTGTTACTTCCAGTGATTTGTCACTAAGAATCCTTTGAAACTTAAGAAATAAGTCTTTGGATTTCATTGTTATTGGATTCATCCTTTGAAACTTAAATGTCATCCTTTTTGTTCTTAAAAATTATGAATCTCTATGTAACCTTTGGGCACCTAGCACCAAAAGAAAAACGTCAGGCTTGTTTGTTTATCTATTCTGAAAACTGTTATGAAATTAACCAACAATGAAAGTAGATTGGAGAAGAGAAGTAGACAAAAAAAATGAGAGAATGATATTGTATTCCTTTACTTGCTTCACTTGCTTCACAATACAATGGCATGCCTTATTTATAGGCATAATCTTACACATAAGTTACATTGGTACTTAAATGATAGATAGTGGATAATAAACCACATGAATATGAGTGGGGGGAGTTACAAGATTAAAGGCATAGTGGAAAGGTAATGGAGTAGTGGAAGATTAATGCCTAGTGGAAGTAGTGGGAGTTGATGATGAAGTTGAGAGGAAGAGGAAGAGGAAGAAGAGGAGATGGACATCCACATGTTATAATATTCATAACACTCCCCATTGGATGTCCATTATACAATATATGTGCCTCGTTAAAAAACTTCAACTAGGAAAAACCCTGTGGGATAAAAACCTAGTAGAAGAAAAAGAGTACACATTCACTGATACACTATTTGATGCTGCCTCATTAAAAACCTTGTTAGGAAAACCCAATGGGAAAAAACCATAGACAAGGAAAAAAGAGTATAGCGTTTATTAACTCCCCCTCTTGATAACATCAATTGATATCCTTGAGTCTGTGACATTCGATATCATGAACAAACTTTTCAAATATTGTAATAGGAAGTGACTTGGTGAACAAATCTGCTAGATTTTTATTTGAATGAATTTGCTGGATATATCTTTCACCATCTTTTGGATATTGTGAGATAAATACTCCATTTGGAATTACCAGCATGTGAATCAGAAAAGAATCTAGAATTCTATTCCAATGTCTTTGGTGAAGAAATATATCTTACCAGTAAGTTAACAGCAAATGATATGTGATGTCATGTATGACTGATAAGATATGATATGATACTTCTGGACCTATGATTTGGTATTTCTGGACCAAGTAGTTTTTCATCACCTTCTCAAAATATATAAAGTTCTTTATTCACCTTCACAAATCTCACAACTATTAAAGTATATAATGGATATGATTTATCCATATAAAAATACTTTAAGGCTTTTCTTGTATCAATTATTTGATACACAAAAATCTTCATTTCTCAAGTATTCAATTTCCAATTCGAAGCAAAACTTTGTTCTTTTCAAGCCCTTCATTTCAAATTCTTTCTTTAAGCAATCCATAGCTTTTGTAAGCTCTTCAGGAGTTCCAATAATATTTATATCATCAGCATAAACAATTATAGCAAACTCACTTTCAGATCTTTTCATAAAAATACATGGGCAAATTGGATCATTTTTATATTATTTCTTCAACCGATATTTACTTAGTCGGTTATACCACATACGCCCTGATTGCTTCTGACAACTTATTTAACTTAATCTTTGTTCTCAAGAACTTAAATTGTATGCTTCTGACAAGTGAAATTCTTTAGGGAATTTCATATATTTTGATTCAAAACTATAAAATGGATCATACATACTGAAATTATTTTAATCTTCATAATATTTTATATACTGAAAGATTTTCTTATATATGCTCCTGGCATATTTTTGAATCCTTCAAGGATTATCATGTAAATTTTACTATTTAATGATCCTCATCCAGGGGTCATCTAGCAGGCACATTTCATAATGCCAGACTATTCAAATATGTAAAATTATATCCACCACAAAGTAATATGTCTCATCATAATCATTTGTGAAAATCTATATTTTCACATAAATGTCTATATATTCTATTGAAACTTTATATGTGTTGGGACTACAGGCCCATTTTCACATATCAAAATAACATTTTTATCACATCTTTTCCCTTTTCCTTTTCTTCTTGGCCAAATTTATATCTACTTTATATGATAGATCTATACGTAATATCCTCTTTTTATCATGTGATATTCTTATGAAAATCATTGTCGACAACTTTACCTTTTCGGTTCCATTTTTTCTTTTGTGACATAACTTGTTGAGATCTCTTTCTTCCTTTTCAGGTACCTGAACCTCTTCTGGAGTTTTACAATTAGTTATGTCTTGACATTCTTCTAGAGTACATGCCTCCTCAATATAACTTCTAAGTTGTATGCTCCTCTTTATTCAAGATATTTATATTAGAACCGATTAACCTCTCATGCTTCTGGCATGTCTTAATATTTAAAATAATTGGAGCATTTTTAGCTGGAATATGAGATTTAAAAATTTTCATTCAAGTCAGTAAAATATTTTGTAATATTTCATGAATGCAATTTTGATGAACTTCTGGTCCATACTAATATATTTGAGGATCTATATTTAATAGTAATAATGCATTCCATGCATTCTCTTTTCCAGCTACTCAATTTCTCCCCCTCATGTTAGGAAAACTTGTTGAATAACAGTCAACTAATTATGTAGTATAAGTCTCCTAAATCCATTTGCTTCTTTTAGGAACATTATTTTGTTCCATTTAAAAACAAACAAGAAGAAGGAGGTTCTTACCCAACATATGTCCCAACTTTCTTTAAATATCCATCTATGTGCATTGTGGTGGATTGGTAAGAATAAATATTACACATTTCAATCTTTAGATGGAAAATATCTTGCTCCTGACCAAAAGCCAATTTCATTGGGAGAATTTTGTTGCCTTGATGTCTATAAGTGCTGCAATATATCAAATATGCCAACACTAAAATGGAAAAATTTGTTCTCATAAATATTGATCAAGCTATTCACGGAGGCATCAACAAATAATTTTGCTAGATCAATTTGTTAAGCAGGCTTTTCAACATTAAAAGCCTGATATATAAAT